TCAAGAGCTTAAAAGAACATTTTTTTGGGGGGAGGATTTTTTGAGACAGGGTCTTGCTATGCAGGTCAGGCTCACGGCAGTCCTGCCTCAGCCTCCCAGTTACAGGCATGCACCACCATGCTTGGCCTTTAACAGAACAATTTCTGAAGTAGAATTAAAAACATTAATACCATTTGTTTCCTGAGTTTGGTAAATTAAGGTAGGCAAACTCTTTGAAGCGTCTGTTTTCACCTTATACTCTTATTCATATGCTTTTTGGCAATTTAACCTCTGGTGGTCTTTTATATTACTGAAACACATAGAATTATTTTTTAATTTTATGATTTTTTTAAAAATTAAGTGTATGGGTACAGTTTAGAAATACACAATAATCACATTCATCATAGGAAAGTTGTACCTGTATGTAACATATCTTAATTCCTAAAATATTCTATACTTAACAATTAAAAAACAGTGCTGCTACTTACTGGTCTTATGCCATAGTACTTTGCTTTGAAAATGGAGATATGTGCCTACTTTTTATTCAATAAATGGGGGTAACTTCTTTTAACATGTAGGATTATTTGGAAGGTCAGACGAGATAATGTATCAAGGTTTTAAAACCACAGAGGAGCAAACACGCATTAGGTAAGTGATGAATTTATTTAGATTTTGCCAGCCATAGGGCTTAAAGCAGGACCACACATCCTAGGAACTAGTTATGGCCACATCCTAGCCCCAAGGAGACATTCAAAATGCAAAGAGCAAACAAAATACCTCAGGAAAAGGGGTTCATTTCTTCATTTGCACTTTGAATGATGGCCTCCTCAAGGGGTTTCAGTTGGAATCCCACCTGTGATTTCAGTGCAGAGTAGGCGATCCTGGGGTGAGAGGTGAGAGGTCTGGAACATTCTGACGACTGAGATGAGGTCCATACAGGCCTGTGCATATGGAAAATGCCTTGGAAATTCTCAGTGGTATTTTTGGGTTTTTTTAAGGTATAGTTTCACTATGTAGCCCAGGCTAGCCTTGAACTTACAGTGATCCTTCTGCCTCAGCCTCCCTAATGCTGGAATTGTAGGCGTGTCAACACATCTGGCCATAATGAGATAGAATAATTTTAATTTTAAATCCTTTCAGTAATTTTTTTATTAATACAAGCTTATAGTACAATGGCAAGCACCATGGGATGTGTTAGCAATATATAACACATCTTAATTCCTTTTACTTCCCCTGCCCTTTCTTCCCTCCCATGGAGTAGCTCTAATGTTACTTTAAGGTCAACAGCGATTGTAGGACCCCTGCTTCAGCATACACCCATGCATTTTTTTTTTTTTTTGAGGTGCTGGGGATTGAACTCAGGACCCTGCACTTGCGAGGCAAGCACTTTCTCTACTGAGCTTTCTCCCCAGCCCCCCACCTGTTCATCTTGACCTGCTGTTAAAAGGGGATGGCTTGGGTTTTTCTGTCTTGAGCTGCTTGGCTAGCAGCTGCCTCTCCATTCTCAGAAAGGCAGAAGGTCAGGGAGCTATCTGTGCTGTGTGTGTACCTGAGACAAGCCCTGCAGAGGCTGTGGGTTGGAGGGAAGAGGTATGGCACTGGGAACCTGGAGAGAGCTCACAGCTGCGTTCTATGCAGCAGTCATCATTCTGTGGTGACTGGATGGACTGCCCTCTGTGCATTGGATATGGCGGCCACTGACTGCATTGCTGCTCTGCCTGGGAAAGCCTGTGACTGTGATTGATTTTATATATATATATATATAATTTATTGTGCAGAACCGAGGATTGAACTCAGGCCCTTGTACTTTACTGAGCCCTCTCCCTGGCCCCACAACTTTGCCTTTATTTATTTATTTTTTAAATTTTTTTATTTTTTGGCGGAACCGGGGATTGAACTTAGGCCCTTGTGCTTGCCAGGCACAACTTTACATTTAAATGGCCATACATGTATATCAATCATGTATTTCATTTTCTGTATTTTGTGGTGCTTTGATGTGTTGGGTACTTGCTGACCAAGGAGAGGTTCCTCTCTGCACAAGCTAATTTAATTCCTAGAGATGCAAATGTGTTGGTGGACACATACCACTCATCTGCAAATCTGCATCTGCAGCGCCTCCTCTCTGGGCTCCTCCACACCGAAACACTGTCCCCTTGACTCCCCTTCAGAGAGGTACCATTCTGAGGGCCACTCGGCTCCCAAGGCCTCATTTTAGCAACAGCTACACTGCCTGCCCCACCTCCCCAGAAGCCCCAGGAAAGATCATGTGCCTCTGGCCCCTCGCTTCTGCACCCTGGCCAAGCCCAGCGCATCCCCTTGTTGCCACCTCCTTCTCCAAGCAGACAGTGCTTTTGAGGCTTTTGTCCTATGTGAGGTGAAGAGAAAACCATGGGCACATGTGCAAGCAGTGGCAAGTGCTCGGTCACCTTGACAGCACAGGTCCTTTCCCTCTGTGAAACAGCTCTGTTCGGCCATGGAATGGGCTGGATGTGTGTATCTTTTGGGTGGCACATGATAGTCCGCCATGTGGTACAGGACACCCAATGGGACAGTCACGCATGTAGCTCAGATGATTTAGGCCTGTGGGGATGTGCTAATTTATTCAAAGAATCTTTATGGAATCTCCATTGTTCTAGGGGTGTAGCTGTCCTGGGCTACACATGCTTCAGCTGCAGTTTACCTGCCTGTAAAATAGAAACAATAATGTTAAGTAGAACAGTTGTTTAAACTAACAATATTAAATGACTTAGCAGAGCTGTACTCATAGCATAGTCTGTTCATTTTTAACTTTTTATTTTATTTATTTATTTATTTATTTATTCATTTTGAGGCAGGGTCTCTCTCTGTAGTCCAGGCTGGCCTTAAATTCACATTGGTCCTGTGGCCTCGGCCTCCTCAGTGCTGGAATTACAGGTGTGCACCCTCATGCCTGGCTTCTTTTATTGTCAACATTAAAAAATTTTTTCTTGTGTGGTACTTCTCTACTTTGTGGGTTTGCTTTTTGTTTTTTGTGCAGGGGATTGAACTCCACCAGGCAAGTAAGTGCTCCACTGCTGAGCCACATCCCCAGCCATGCTTATTAGCACACACCTTGGTGCATGATTTCCTGTTTTTTCTTAACTTAGCTATTTCTTTGTAGCATCTGGCAAGGTGCAAGGAGGGCACTCAGTGAAGGAAGGTAAACAGGACTTTTCTATGACTAATATATTCTAGTACCTTTTGATTTTAAATGCAGGAACCTCAGAGACTTGTGGGAACATACTTATCTTAGAAGATTGATGGTGAACCTTTTAGAGCCCAAGTTCCCAAACTGCAATCCAAAATTGACTTATCTCAAAGGGCCAACATGCTAGTTATACCCAAATACTGAGGTTTTAATTTAGAAAAAATGACTCACACAACTCCTGACGTCACGGCAGAGAGGGCCCTGCGTGACCAGTGTGGCTGACATGCCATGGCTTCACCACCATTGCCTCAAGAGTCTTGATGTGCTTGTGTCCACAGGCAAAGTGAATCATTCCACACATCATTTATCTGCCCTATGTTAGGACAGAGCTCCAGAGGTACTTTAGTGTCTATGGAATGTGGGTTATCCTACAATGAGAACATCCTCAGTTTATAGAAGTTTTAATTCATTAAAATGCAGCTTTTACACAATATTTTGTTATTTAGAAACATTTACCAAAAAAAAAAAAAAAAAAAAAAGAAAGAAATTGGAGCAGAGGCAGGAGAATTGCTGCAAGTTTGAGGGCAGCCTAGTCTACATAGTGAGTCCAAGGCCAGCCTGAACTACATAGCGAGATCTTGTCTCTCTCCCCAGCAGTTATAAATGGTAAAAAGATTATGGATATTCTTTTGTGTGACATGTATGTATGTATGTATTTAATACAGGGTCTCACTTCATAGATTGGACTCGTAATGTTTATACCCTCCGAAGTGCTGGGATTACAGGCATGCACCACCATGCCCAGTCTCAATTGCCATCTGAATGTGCCCCAGGGACAGGGCCGGCTTGGCACGCCCAGGGATCAAACTCTGGCCCCTGCATCTGCCTAAGCAGGTGCTTTAATGCACTGAGCTATTTGGCCGGCCCTTGTATGATTTTTATTTTTATTTTTTATTTATTTTTTTTGTGGAGCCTGGGATTGAACTCAGGCCCTTGCACTTGTCAGGGAAGTGCTTATTCTACTGAGTCATCTCCTCGGCCCCCTTTGTATAATTTTTAGTTATGGTATTGAGAAAAGTTGCAGCTGTGTAAGATGGTACACACCTATAGTCTCTGCCATGGCAGTTTATCATGATCTTGTTTCAACTGAAAGACTGTGGATCTAGCTTAGTGCAAAGCCCTGGTTTAATCTCCAGTATGGCCAAAAGAAAACAGAAGTGAAAATGTTTTCTAAGCTTACAAAATATATCTCAGTTAAGTTCTGTTTATTATTATGGTGGCCACAATTCCTGATAAAAGTAAAGATAAACATAGTGTCTTACTTTTCTTGGTTCTGAGACAAAATACCCAACACCCAAAGTTATGGGAGGAAAGGCTTATTTGGCTCATAGTGTGTAGAACTCTCAGGGCGTAGTGAGCTGGGATCATGGCAGTGGGGCGTCTCAGAGGAGAAACAGTCCAAGGCAGGGAAGGCAGAAGGCACAAAGCACAGGCAGCCGAAGCAGCTGCAGCCCTTCTCCCTTTTATCCCTCTCAGGCTGCTGCTTACCCCCAGGGTGCTTCCCGTTATCCACTCCTGAACTATGCCTGACAGCACACTAGGCCAGGATTGTACACCCTTGATGCCCGCACCACACAGCTTAGGTGCAGCCCACCCTGGTAGGAGGCCAAGGACATGTGGCGCAGACATGCTGTGGGCTCAGTGCGAGCGTTTGAAGTAGGACTACTTTCTTGAGTTTCAAGTTAGCTCATACTAGGGTGGTGCTGGTAGAGCAGAGTCTGCTGGGAAGCCCACCCCCAGTGTTGCAGGTGTGGGCAACAGGCAGCGGTGGGCGCGGCTGACTGTGCACCTTCAGTTGCAGAATGGCTCCGGCTGCTGCCCTTCCTGGGTGTGCTCGCTCTGCTGGGCTATCTTGCCATCCGCCCATTCTTCCCGAAGAAGAAGCAACAGAAGGACAGCTTGATAAACCTTAAGATCCAGAAGGAAAACCCCAAGGTGGTGAATGAAATCAACATCGAAGACCTGTGTCTCACGAAAGCAGCTTACTGCCGCTGCTGGCGCTCCAAAACGGTAAGAGCCTGTCTGGGATGGAGCCCGCTGAGCTCTCTGGGTCTGCGGCCCTCTGTGTAGTTTCTGCTGTGTTCTGTAGGAAGTCCCATGCCGGAATGCACTTTGCCTTCTGTGACTGCTGCTACCCCAGCAGTACTGCAGATGTTTTTGTAGACTTGGTGAAATGTCATGTAAAATGCCTCACATACAGCTGGTGAGTGGTGGCTCTTATAAGAGGATTTTATGTATTGTTGGCAGTGGCAAAGTGGATTTGTGAAAGTAAAAGTGAAGAGTCAGGTTTGAGCAGTGTGAGCGTAGCAGAGTGAGAGAATAAGGCCAGAAAGAGTTGCCATGAACAGGGGATGGTGTGAGGAGTGTCAGGGCTTGATGGAGCCGGTTTCTTGTGCTTTTTTTTTTTTTTAACGTGTTTTATAATAATTTTTATTGATTTTTTAAATTATTTTTTTGTATTTAGAACAGGGTCTATAGGGTCTCACTACATAGATCGGACTCATATAGTGATCCTCCTGTTTTCATCCTCCCAAGTGCTGGGATTACAGACATGTACCACCACGCAGTCTCAATTGCTCTCTCAGCGCGCCCGAGGTGGGACTGGCATGGGAGGCTGGGGATCGAAACCCAGCCGCTCTGCTATGCCTAAGCAGGCGCTTTAGTTTGCTGAGCTATCTGGCTGGCCCTTCCTGTGCTGCTTTGATTGTAGGTTATTTGAAATTTTAAGCACAATATTGTATATGTCAGCATCCTTTGTAATAGCAAAGTTTAGAAACTATCTGATAATGGGAAATAATAGTATAATACAAATGGGATATCCAGGAGCTATTAACAAACTATGGTTTTAAAAAATAATTCTGTGATATTTAAGGGATATTTAATGAGATCCCAATTTAATACAGGTAAGAAAAGCATGAACGTAACAGCAGTTTTATTTTTTATTTTATTTTTTATTTTTTTATTTTTTTATTTTTTGCGGAACCGGGGATTGAACTCAGGTCCTTGCGCTTGCCAGGGAAGCGCTTATTCCACTGAGCCATCTCCCTAGCCCCAAAGCAGTTTTATTTTTAAAAGGTGGATGAAACCAGGTGTAGTAGTGTACACTTGTAATCCTAGCTCTTAGAAAGCTGAGCCAGGAGGATTGCTGTGTTTGAGATCAGCTTGCACTAGATAATGAGGTCCTGTCTCAACCTCCCAGCCACACAAAAAAAGGCCAGGTGTGGTGGTGCATCCTTGTATTCCCAGCACTGAGGAGGCAGAGGCAGGAGGATTGCCATGAGTTCAGGGCCAGCTGGGGCTATGTAGCAGACTATATATATATAAAGTAAACAAGCTAGGTGTTGGAACCAGCACTTGGGAGGCTGAGGCAGTGAGTTAGCCGAGGGCTGGCCCAGCTAACTCACTGCCTCAGCCTGCAAGACCCTGTCTCAGCTCTTATCACCCAAAGAGACACCACAAGGGATGCAAAAAAGGCATATAGCAAATTTATTTATGCCTGTATCTAGATGGATCATGAGTCAAGTTGTTAAGGTTTGTTTTTAAAATTTTTCAAAAAACTTAGTTTGTATATGAATTTTATAAGGAAATATAATTTTGAATTTACTTTCACTCTTTTTAAGTGAATTAAAAGCTCCACAGAGACTAATAGCTCATTTTGATTCCTTTTTAAAACTATATTTATTTGGAATCAGCCCAAGGTTTTTAATTAAAATCTGTGGCTTACAGTGATTTAACAGTTTAGATTAGTAGATTTGCTGTGGTGCTAGGATGTAAAATAAATGTATTAGCGCTATCTGATGACTCTTTCCCTTTTTCTTTTTTTGATGACTCTTTTTGAGTTAGCAGTAATCTCGCCTTGGATAGACCTGAGTGGCTGAGATACTGCCACTGCGCAAAACTCAGATGAATCTTTTTAAGCAAGTAATGTGCTTTGTGACAGCATTGAGCACATATTTCTTCTTAATCATAGTTTTAAAGTAACATTGGTAATTCCTTTTTCCTTTCAGTTTCCTGCCTGTGATGGCTCGCACAATAAACATAACGAGCTGACGGGAGATAATGTGGGTCCACTCATCCTGAAGAAGAAAGAAGTATAACAGTAACGACATGGGATTGATTCAGCATGTGCTGGGAAGTCCTGCAGTATTTTCTCATTCTTCGTGTATAGAAAATCTTTGAAATGGTGGTCTTAATTATTACTAAGTGAATAATTATTTCTGCCGGTTTATTTTCTTGCTACACTACTGTTTATATTTGATAATTTGTATATTGAAACATTTATGTAGAGATTAAACTGTCAAGACTTAGTCTGTCTTTAGAGAAGTAATGTATCTTCCAGCAATAAAATCAATTCCTTTCATTTTATTTTTAACTTTCTATTTTGAGCCAGGGTCTTGCTTGGTAGTTCAGGCTGGTCTTGAACTCACTATGTAGGTCCAGCTGATGTTGAACTTGTGTTGATCCTCTTGCCTCTGCCTCGAGTACTGGGACCATCGGCCTGGAGCACCTTGCCCCGCTTCCTCTCGTTTTAATTGAGAAAACCTAAATTTTGGCAATGGATCCAAAACTATTTGGATATTACTATTTCAACAGAATCTATACCTAAAAAAATTGCCCCTACATTGTGTTGTATAGCTTTTGTTTTGATCAGTCATGTGGCTTCTTTCTTTGAATGGTACTGGGTATTGAACTCAGGGCCTGGCAAGTGCTAGGCACATGCTCTACCACTGAACTCCAGCCCTGTCTCTCTTTTTAGGGATTCTAAGAAAAATGTTGACATGAAAATTACTTGAGGTCACAGATACAAGTTTTGGTTTATAGAGAATGTTCCTCATGAATATGAATATCACAATTTGAGAAATAAATGATATAAATAGTTCTAATGAGGAGTAGTTATTTAAAATTGTAAAAGGTTTGCTTCCAGAAGGTGTGCATGTGTGTTTGTGCTACTTGGTTCATCAACACTGGGATGAGAGCAGGAACACTTGCAGGTAAACTCCCGGGCTGCTGCAATTGAATTTAAAAGTGAAACATACCTGAGTTCTGGTTGAAACAAAATTGTGTTTATATGAACATTTTCTCTGTAAGCTGTTAAAACAAGCCATTAAAATGAAGTACAAAAAAGTTTTCAAAATAAATTCACTGAAGAATGTAGAACAAATTTGTAATGGTTAGCCTACAATTGAGTCTTTAAATTGCAGTTTTCCTATTGCTAGCTCCTGGAGTCTATTAAAGGTAAAATCCCCCCACCGAACATTTAATTCTCCTTCCTGTAAGCGGCCAAGGGTCAGCGCTCCATGGGAGACCATGCTCAGTGTGTGTGGGGACTTGGAATTTACTCCGTAGAATGTCAGTGGGCTTGCTGTGTGACCTAGATTTTTGTGAGTAACAGCAAGGATTTTAGAGTTACACATGTAGTCTGATATTTTTGAGAAGGTTTACAAGGTTTTTGTCCAGAATGGTTGCTCTTCCCTCTTCCCACCTGTCAGTGGGGGATGTAATATAATAGTGAGCTTACTTTGGCTCTAAGTAATTTTCTGAGACTTTCTATTCAACATCTCTAAGGCCTGCCTATTGGATTAACCAATTATTTTTCCACACATGGTTGGAATACTTTGGAGAAAGGCCACACCAAAAGTTGTTATATGCTTGTCTGTGGTTATAAAAAGGTTTTTCTTTTTGTAAAACCATTCACAACTTATAGCAACATGCTTTTAGATATTTTAGCAGGGTGTGGTGGCACATGCCTGTGATCCCAGCATCAAGAGGCTGAGGCAGGAGGATTACAAGTTTGAGGCCAGTCTGGGCTGCACAGTGAGGTGCTGTCTCAAAAAATCAAAACAAAAACATATTCTAGCAGTTTCTATAGGTAGGTTTCACAGGAAGTAAACTTGACTAAAAATGTGTGCTCTAAAATGAAATAATGGACAAAGTGCCTGCTTACACAAGTGCAGGGACCATGGTTCGATCCCTGGCACTGTATGCTGTGCCAGCCCCGTCCCCAGGTATGCTGAGCCTGCCACTGAGACCATACATGGTGGTGCACACCTGTAATCCCAGCACTGGGTAGGCTGAGACAGGAGGATCACTACAAGTCAGCAGCATAGTAAAACCCTGTATCAAATACATTAAAAAAAAAATCAACTTTTAATTTTTTAAAATATGTACACATTGAAAATAAAGTCTATCATAAAAAGTTAACATTAATATACAAAAAAACAAATGGAGCCAGGGGTGGTGGCACACACCTGTAAGCCCAGAATTTTGGGAGGCAGAGACAAGAGGACTATAAGTTCAAATCTAGCCTGGACATCTTACCCTGTCTCAAAAACAAAAAAGTCTCCCTGGCAAGCGGAAGGGCCTGAGTTCAATCCCTGGTTCCGCCAAAAAAAAAGTAAACTAAAGGTCTGGGGATGTAGGTCTCTATGGAGGACCTGGGTTTAGTCTCCAATACCACAGCAAACAAAAGGTGGTCTGGTGATGTATGTCTGTAATCCCAGCAATCTGGGAGGCTGAGGCAGGCAAATAGCAAGTTTGAACCTCGCTTGGGCAATTTATTGAGCTGGGAAGATCTGTCTCAAAAGATAACCAAAAGGGCTGGCATGTAGCTCAGTGCAGAGGTTCAGGGTTCAATCCTCAGTACTAAAAAAGAAAAAGGTTTATTACCTTCATGTTTCCTTTGTTAAAATATATTGACATGTCCCACATAGTTTCCTTCCTGTGCAGGGTTTTCAAATATTTGAGGCTGGTAGGAAGCGGTTACTTCATTAGTGCCTTCACATAAGCACTCTTACCCTTCCTAACACGGGATTCTATCTGTGGACTTAGCAGATGGGACAGCCCAAGGTGCTGCAGTGACTCTGAGAAGTACCAAAGGTCTAGAAGGCGTGGCAGCCTTCCACAGTTCCTGCCCAGGATGATGGTGCCAGGGCCACCACTCCTGCTCTTGGGGAGCCAGTCACGCCTTGCTCAGCATGGGCACTGCCCAACACACGTGTTTGGCATCTGAGTGCACACAGTGGAGGCCAGCTGTAATCGAGCACAGCACTTGTGATCAGCTCTGGCTTCAGTGCCTCACATGAGTCATTGTAGGGCCTTTGTATTTTGTAACCTAATTTGTTAGTAAGATTATGGGAAGCCAATTAAATAGCTGCTGCTCTGTATGTGTCTGCTTTTCTTGTGGATCCTGAGTTGCCCACCAGAAATTCCTGGAAAGAACTTAGGAACTCTGACTTAACAAGGTCCCATTTTTTGAGACAGGGTCTCACTGTGTCGCCCATGCAGGCCTTGAATTTGTGACAGTCCTTCTGCCTCAGCCTCCTGAGTGCTGGGATTACAGGTGTGCACCACCATGTCTGGCCTTATCAGGGTTCTTAAGAGATCATGTAGATATTTGGTAGATATTTGTGGTACTTGGGGTTAAACCCAGAACTTCAGCATGCTCAGTGAGCAGGCTCTCAGTGTCCAGGCTGGTCTTTTGTGATCCTCCTGCCTCAGCATTTCAGGCAGTGACATTACAGGTGTGCCTGATGACACCCACCTGGGTGTTTCATGTGATCATTAGAGACTTGAAAGTGACCACTACATTCATTTATGGTGCATTTGGACCAACATCACACTCTGGAGAAATCCAAGTTCTAATGCTTGTAGGTTTTTTTCAGGCAGGGTCTTGCTATATATTTTAGGCTGTCCTTGAACGCACTGTATAGCCCAGGCTGGCATCGAACTCGTGGCAATCCTCCTGCCTCAGCTTTCCAAGTGCTGGGCAGGCTTCATATCTTGACTTCATACCCAATTCTAAGAAGTTCAGTTGTCTGGATTTCTGCTCCCGAGCAAATCACAAGTATGGAAAAGATTCTTCTAGAGATAGGTAAACAAAATGTGACAGCTGGCAGGAAGACAACTGAAAAAGTTTGAGACTGTGTAATGCAGGATTCTGTGGGACATCTCTGTGCTCTATCATCTCTGTGGGGGAGGGGGAGGTGGCGAATCTGTGTGTGGCAGTTAAGAAGGCAGGATATGTGTTGTGTCTAGTGATACCATTTCCACTTTAAACAGTTAAAAGCTTGGTGTTTTGCTGATTTTTTAAAACTAATTCTTACTACTTGCTCTGTGGAGGCTTTAATCACAAGTTTTTCCACATTCAATCAAAACATTTTTCATGCTAATGACTAATTTACTATAATTTAATTGTTAAAATCTAGGAAAAATTAAGCAACAGTGATTCAGGCCAAATAAATCATGTCAAATGATCTCCACTATAGAGATTTGGAAATAGGGATATAGCTCAGTGGCTCAGCCCCTGCCCAACAGGCACGAGGTCCTGGGTTTGATTCCCAGTATCAAAAAAAAAAAAAAAAAAAAAAAAACAACCCAAAAGCCATGCGATGACCTTCACAAGGTTTCATTAATACACACCTATAGCTGGTTGGTTGGGGGGCAGACTTTATCATTTTTTAGCAAATTACCCATTTGTTTTGGTTTTGTTTTCTGAGATGGGGTCTCCTCATGATGGTTCTGTTGCCTCAGCCTCCCCAGCGCTGTGGTTACATATGTGTGCCATCATGTCCAGCTTAACAAATCAATTAGCTTTACCTTTTGCAGAAACCCATTTAGAAAAGCCACTTAGAAATCCAGTAGCAAATGTCATTTTATTTTATTTTAATTTTTTTTGTGGCGCCAGGGATTGAACTCAGGACCTTGTGCTTGCCAGGCAGGCACTTATGCTGCTGAGCTTTATCCCTGGCACAAACATCATTTTAATACAGTATAAGCTGGGTCCTCACTCAGTTTCCTATAAGTTTGGTCTAGAAGAACATTAAAGACTGTTCAGAAAGGTAAAACTGTCTTTCAGCCAGAGGTGACAGCACTCTAGCTTTGCTGTAGTGGAGTGCTTGACTCACTGCTCACTTAAAAACCTGTTTTCTTTTTTCCTTTTTCCTTTTTTTTTTTTTTTGCAGTACCGGGGATTGAACTCAGGACCCTGCACTTGCCAGGCAAGCACTTATTTTACTGAGCTATCTCCCCGGCCCAAAAATCTGTTTTCTGTAGATGGTGTGAGCAAGTATATTTGTGAAGGTTTTCTTAGAACACCACATGTGTTCTAAGATGTAGATCAGCCACAAGTTAATAAAGTCTTTGTTTGAAGACTCTAGTTCTCCAAAATACTATAGAAAAGGGTCAGACATTGCATAACTGCTGACCGAGAATTTGTACCAGTGAAGAATAAACATGTCAAAAAGCAGCTCACTGGAATGTCACTGAATTTTCCTGAGATTTTCCTTAGTATCTCCATGCATTTCTCTGACCTCACCTTGAAGACATGGCTGTGTCCACTCCATACATGTGAGAAACACCAAGCTTAGATGTAGAGGGCAGCTGTGCAGGAAGCTGCTGAGCAGGAAGATGCTGAGGGTGCTGGCTCTGGCCAGCAATACCCTGCAGAGCTGGGGGAGACAGATGCTTCCCAGAAAAACTGAGTGACCAAAACTAACCCAAGAAGAAATCAGAAGTGCTAGCATGGGCTGGGTGCCGTGGTGCACACCTGTAACCCTGGCACTTGGGAAGCTGAGGACTACCATGAGGTCAAGACCAGGCTGGGCTACAGAGTGAGTTTAAAGCCAGTCTTAACTACAGAGGCCTGGTCTCAAAAAACAAAAGCAATTAATATTTAAACAAATAAGAATTACTATTGTAAAGATATAAATCTGAATTATATATAAATTCAATAAAAGTTACATTAGAATCAGAAAACTTGATTAAACTTCACATAGAAGTTTACAAAATTATAGGAAAGACTCCTGAGAGGTGATTTTTTACCAGTTATCTGCACCTCCTCTGAAGGTACTGGAGTGAAGTCAGAAAAAAAAAAAATTGGAT